AGAATTGGTACACAAAACGCATATTATTATAACGATGGTGTATTAATAGGCTCTTCGCTATTGCTCACACCATAGGCATGAGTTTGACTTCGGTTGGGGAAATTCTTTCCGTTGGGATTTTGTGTAGATAATATCTATCCCGCTCTGCCCAATTTAGCCCTGATAGGTAGAGTCGAGCAGCCCGCTTCCCAGATTGTCTGGATTGGTCGACGAAGGTGTAAGACACTTGCTATTAACATAATCATAGATAGTCTTAGAAAGGTGGGGGGAAGGAGGGAAGAGAGGGAGTAACAGCTTGTCACTGCCCCCCACCCCCCATGTGCATCCATTTCCTCCAGCTTTCCATGCCCTCTATCTTCTGTCCAATATATTATGTCCGAATAACTTTATTCCATTACATGAATAAACCATTCTTATTATCATTACAATTATTATTATTATTAACATTGTCACTGTTTTTGTTATTGTGATTGTTTTTATTTTTATTATCATCATCATCCTTAGAAACATAGAAGAATGTCAAGGTCTCAAAGTAAATGGAGAAATGATTAATAACATCAGGTATGCATATGACACAGTTTTGATAGAAGGCTCAGAAAAGGACCTTCAATAGTTTCTAGATACTGTTGTAACAGAAAGTGAACGTAAAGGATTATTGTTGAATGTAAAGAAAATAGAATGCATGGTAATATCCAAAAAGCAGCAAAACCCAGTTGTAATCTCATTAGCAAAGTTGAAAAGATCTAACAAGTCCAACAGTTTAACTAGATATGATAACATCTGATGTCAAATGTTCCACAGAAATAAGACTGGGAGTTACAATGGCCAAGGCTAGTTTCAATAAAATGAGCCCAATCCTGAAAAATAGAAACATCTGAATGAACACCAAAATGAAAGTTCTGAAATGCTATGTCTGGTCAACCCTTCTATATGGCTGTGAGTGCTGGACAATCACTAAAGACAGTGAAAATAAAATAGAAGCAACAGAAATGTGGTTTCTTAGGAGAATGCTAAGAG